GGTTGTGAGACTTTTGATGACTGCTTCTATTTCCTTAGGGGTTATAGGTCTTATTTAAATTTCTTATCTGTTCTTGGCAAGTGATATCTAACCATAAAATTGTTCATTTCCTTTAGATTTTCAAATTTTGTGAAGTACAGGTTTTCAAAGTATGACCTGATGATTCTCTGGATTTCCTCAGTGTCTGTTGTTATGTCCCCTTTTTCATTTCTGATTTTGTTAATTTGCATGTTCACAATCTGCTGTTTCATAAATTTGGATAAAGATTTGTCTATCTTTTTGATTTTCTCAAAGAGCCAACTCTTAGTTACATTGATTCTTTGTATTGTTTTCCTAGTTTCTACTTTATTGATTTCAGCCCTCAATTTGATTATTTCCTGGCATCTACTCCTCCTGGGTGAGTTTGTTTCTTTGTGTTCTAGAGCTTTCAATTGTGCTGTTAATTCTCTAGTGTAACTATTCTCCAATTTCTTCATGTGGGAACTTAGTGCTATGAACTTCCCTCATAGCACTGCTTTCAAAGTATCCCATAAGTTTGGGTATGTTGTGTCTTCATTCTCATTTAGTTCTAGGAAGTCTTTAATTTCTTTTTTTATTTCTTCTTTGACACAGGAATGGTGCAGTTGAACATTATTCAATTTCCGTGAGTTTGTATGTTTTCTGCAATTTGTGTTGTTGTTGAATTATAATTTTAACACATGGAGTTATTCCAATTTTTTTGTACCTGTTGAGGTTTACTATGTTGCCAAGTATATGGTCGATTTTTGAGAAGGTTACATGTGGTGCTGAGAAGAAGGTATATTCTTTTTTATGTGGATGGAATGTTCTATAGATGTCTGTTAATCCCAATTGGGTCATAACTTCTATTCCTTTGCTTCTTTGTTAAGTTTCTGTCTGGTAATCCTATCTAGTGGTGAGAGTGGGGTGTTAAAGTTTCCCAGTATAAGTGTGTGGGGCTTTATATGTGATTTGAGTTTTAGTAATGTTTCTTTTATGAACGTGGATGCCTTTGTATTTGGGGCATAGATGTTCAGAATTGAAACTTCGTCTTGGTGGATTTCTTTTGTGATGAGTGTGAAATGACCTCCTTCATCTCTTTTGATTGATTTTATTTTAAAATCTAATTTGTTAGATATTAGGATTGCTACCCCCGCTTGTTTTTTGGGTCCATTTGATTGGAAAATCTTTTCCCAACCCTCTGAGGTAATGTCTGTCTTTGAGGCTGAGGTGTGTTTCTTGTATGCAGCAGAAGGATGGGTTCTGTGTTCGAATCCATTCTACTAGCTTATGTCTTTTCATGAGTGAGTTAAGACCATTAATATTGAGGGATATTAATGACCATTGATTGCTCATTCCTGTTTTGGAATAGTTGATGATGGTGGAATTATATGTGGATTTCCACCTCTTTTTTCTTTTGGCTGTTAATAAGGTCGGATTATCTATTGCCTATGTTTTTCTGGTTGTAGTTAACTTTCTTGGGTTACAGTTTTCCTTCCAGAACTTTCTGTAGGGCTGGGTTAGTGGATACGTATTGTTTAAATCTGGTTTTGTCATGGAGTATCTTGTTTTCTCCATATATAGTGATTGAAAGCTTTTCTGGGTATAGCAGTCTGGGCTGGCATCTGTGGTCTCTTAATGTTGGTAGAATATTCAGGACCTTCTGGCTTTCAGAGTCTCCATGGAGAAGTCAGGTGTGATTCTGATAGGCTTGCCTTTGTATGCTACTTGGCCTTTTTCCTTTGCTGCTCTTAATATTCTTTCTGTATTCTGTATGTTCAGCGTTTTTACTATTATGTGGCGAGGGGACTTCCTTTTGTGGGCCACTCTATTTGGTGTTCTGTAAGCTTCTTGTACCTTCACTGGCATGTCTTTCTTTAGGTTGGGAAAGTTTTCTTCTATGATTTTGTTGAATATGCTTTCTGCCCCTTTGAGGTGGTTTTCGCCTTCTATACCTATTATTCTTAGGTTTGGTCTTTTCATGGTGTCCCATATTTCCTGGATATTTTGTGTTAGGGAATTGATGAACTTAAGATTTTCTTGGTCAATGAATCTATTTCCCCTAGTATATCCTCAACACCTGAGATTCTGTCTTCCATCTCTTATATTCTGTTGGTTATGCTTGCATCTGTAGTACCTGACCATTTGCTTAGCTTTTCTCTTTCCAGCATTCCTTCAGACTGTTTTTTTATATTGTCTCCATTTCAGCTTTCTACCCTTGCACTGTTTGAATTGTTTCTTGCAATTTTTGCTGTGTCTTTTCCTCTCTTTCTTGCATTTGTTGGATTTTTTTTGGTTTGTTTTTTTCCATTTCTTGCATTTTTTTTTGCATTTTTGGTGTGTTTTTTCTTCCATTTCTTTAAGGGTTTTTCTCATATCCTCTTTGAGGGCCTCTATCAATTTCATGAAGTTTTTTTAAGGTCTTTCTTATCTGCTTCATCTGCAATGGGCTGTTCAGGTCTTGCGGGTGTAGAGTCTCTAGCTTCTGGTGGTGTCATATTGGTTTTTCTGTTGCTGGGTGTGTTTTTATATTGTCTTCTTCCCATCATTTCTTCCTGTGGGTGCAGAAGGAGTCTCTTCCTCTCCTGGTGGGTATGTGACCATGGTTCCTTTCTGTAGAGAGAAGCCTTTTCCCTTTCTGCCGCTTTGGTTTTTCCTCACCAGTTGCCTGGGTTCTGCCGCGTTGTAGTCCCCAAATAACACACAAGATGCTGTATTAATTATGAAGCTGTTTGCCTTGCTTGTTTCTTACTGGCTATCTCTGACTTACGTATTTACCCCATAACTGCCAATCTAAGTATTTCTCTTACCGGAGAAAAGTTTCTGGGCTTCTTACCCCTATGGCGGTTACATCTTGAGTCCCTGTGTTTCTCCTACCCAGAGTCTTCCTGGACTCCTAGTCCCACCTATCTTGCTTCCCTATTGGCCAACAGTGCTTTATTGACATATACACAGGATTTCCCCATCACCTTTCCAGTGGGTGGGAACAGGTCCAATACCCTGGTGGCTTTCCTTTTGTGTGGATGGAGGCAGTCCTAGTATTAGGGCCCTGGCAATCTCTAGGTATCCTTGACCCTGCCTGTCCCATAGGTGGAGAATGGGACTTGGACACTGGCAGTCTCTGGGCAGGCGGCTCCTGCCAGGATGGGAGCTTCAGTGTGCAGTACCCTGGCCTGGGCTAGTTGTGTGGAGATCACCGGAAGGCTGAGAAAGGGACTATGGTGTTGGCAGTCTCTGGGAGGGCTAAATCCCTTCAGGCTGGGATCTGCAGTGTGCAGTCCCCAGGTCTCCGGTGGTTCTGCTCTGGGCACCAGAAGGCAGGCTGGAGACAGTCCTGTGCTTACCTCTCTTTCCCGTGGATGGAGATTGGGACTTGGAAGCAGACTCTGGGTGGGTTGAGTCCCATTGTGCTGGGATCCTCTGTGCACAGACCTCAGGTCTCCCTTTTGTTTGTTTTTAAGAGAAAGGGAGAACATGAGATTGGATGTGTAGGGAGGTGGGGATTATATGGGAAGAGTTGGGGAGAGTAATGAATATGATCAAATTATATTGAAAGTTTCAAAAGAATAAATAAAAACATTACTTTAAAAAAACTAGTTTTTTTAGACAGTCTCACTATGCAGCCCTGGCTAACTTGGAGCTCTCACTATCTAGACTAGTCTGGTCTCAAATTTACAGAGATCCACACACTTATACATCATGAGTGCTGGAATTAAAGGCTGCATCACCACTCCAGGATTTACATGTTTAAATTTCATTTATTTAGTGCTGGGGGTGGGTATGTGCCTGCTACTGCACACATCTGGAGATTATTTATTGCTGGGTATGAGGGTGGGTATGTTCCTGCCACTGCATACATCTGGAGATTATTTAGTGCTGGGGGTGGGTATGTGCCTGCTACTACACACATCTGGAGATAATTTAGTGCTGGGTACGGGGGTGGGTATGTTCCTGCCACTGCATACATCTGGAGATTAGAAGACAACTTTCCGGTATTTGTTTCCTCGTTCCACCCTGTGAGTGCTTGGGATTGAACTCAGATGATCAGGATTAGGGGCAAGCACCTTCCCTCCTGACCCATGTTGCTGTCCTGTCACTCTTACCTGCTGCTTTTCGTTTATAAAAGGGTACACAGTATCTACTTTATAGGCTTTTGTAAAGGGACTGTCTTCAAGGAGAGCTGATAGAGCAAGCATCTAGCACATATCAGGTAGTACTGGCAATGCAATGCAGTGATATTGGAGTCTCTCAGCTCTACTTGATTTCAGCAGTGTTAAATAGTGATGCATCATTTCCCCCAATTGCTTTCTACTAAGAAATGTTTGTATGTGTTTGTATGTGAGTGTGTGGCACTGTGTGTTGGTGTGTAGAGATTGCAAGTAGACCTCAGGTTTGCTCTTCAGGAGCTGTCCACCTTGTTTTTTGAGATAGGGTATTTCATTGGCTTGAAGTTCTATAGGGAGGATAGACTGGCTGACAGTGAGCCTCAGGGATGTGCCTGTCTCCACCTTCCCCATGCTAGGATTGCAAGTTCATGCCTTCATACCCAGCTTTTTAAATTGGGTTTTGGAACTGAACTCCAGTACGTGTGCTAGCAAAGCAAGCAATTTACCCACTGAACTGTGTCCCTTGCCCCCAAAATATGTTTTGGATATGCTTGATATATAGCTCAATATCTCTCATGCTCTCCTAGCACACAGAAAGCCCTCAATTCAATCACTAGGATTACATTAAACCCGGTGTGGGCGGCATACACCTGTAATCCCAGCACTCAGAAAGCGGAGGCAGCAGGATCAAAAGAGCAAGCACTTCCTCAGCTGCATAGCAAGTTTCAGGCAAGTTTGAGCCAAAGGAACATTTTTGATATATATGCTCTTTCATTTACAATGGCAAAATGTAGTTAGTGTTTCCCATGTAGCAGGATCTATAGTTGCTATTGTATAGGACTGTTAGTCCTCACCTGGTGTCAAGCATGTTTTGAGTCCTTACTGTTTCCCTTGCAGTGGTGGTTCTGTGTATAATTTGTATACAGATGAGGACGAAGAAACTGAGCCTTCTCCTTCTGGGCAACAGATCATTGAAAATTCAATAACTATGAATAAGATGAAGCTGCTGAAGGCTAAGATGGAGAACATGAATCTCAGCAAAAAGGTGAAGCTGTTGGCTCTTGGCCAAGCTTTTCTCTAGCTTAAGTGGCGGGACTCACAGTGCTGAGGTCTGCTGGTGACTATGGAAAACTATAAAATATTACTTACTTCATGTTTCTGGTCTCAACTTATTTATTAAGATGTGACAAGTGAGCATTGAGGTGTTTAGTCTAGCAACATGCCTGAAAGGGTTATGCACACATCTCTAAAATGTCATATCTGTAGCATGAAAAGGGGTAGTAAAAGATAGCTTAATCTTTCAATAATTTCAATAATCAAAAATGTGATTTCAGGATTTACTCTTATAGGCACTGAGATAGGCACACTATAGCCCAGGCTGGTCAGAACTTAGTATACAGCCCCGATCTGCATGAACTCTCAACTGCCCTCTCTCAGTCCTCTGAATGTTTTGATTAGAGGTATGTGCCACCACGCCTAGGAGATACTCACTATTTTTGCCAGTTTTCTAAAGCAATTCTAAAGTGAATAACCAACGTACATTCTTTCCAGCACTGGGTGAGACTTGCAGTGTTCCACATTCTTGACAGTTGTTTTTGTTTCTGGATGTGAGTCTGTCTGTCTCAGTCTCTTGCCTCTCCTTCTCTCCCTGACACCACTTCTTTTCATTCTGTTAGGCCTCCCCATATAAAATAGACAAACCTTTAAAGTACTGCTTGAAACCTGGCCAGATGATCAGCAAATTAAGACACTTGCCACATCCCTGTAAACTCAGGTTCAATCCCTGTTAAGGTAGGAGGAGAAAACTGAAAGTTGTCCTCTGACCATGGCAAATCACCCAATAATAATAATGATGATAATAATAAACAATAATAATGATAATAGTAAAATTTAGACTCTGCTTGATGCATTTTTACAGTTAAATACACTTATTTAGCTATAACTCAAAGTACTTATTTAGCTATAACTCAAAGTAGTTCCATTTTTTTTCCTTTTTTCTGTTTCTCTTTTGCTTGTTTGAAATAGGATCTCACTGTGTTTGTCTGGTTTCTTGGAACTCACTATATAGATCAGGGTGACCTTAAACTCACAGAGAACTGGTATTAATGGCAAATGCTACCACACCTAGTTCCCCTGCTTTTTCCTGTAAAAAAAATTCCTTCACAATCTTCCCTAAGATAACCATAGTTTTACACATATTTTCACAAATAATTTTGTGCACTATGGAACGTTATATAAATAAACACCATAGACAGTACAGTACTTTTTTTTTATAAAATTCTACTTTATTTTCTTCAATGTCAATTTAAAAAAAATTTTAAATGTATTGTGCATTTAACATACAGTGGTTCTTTTTGTTTTTCTTTTCTATGGTCAGCACGTGTCTGAATTTTGGTTTTTATTAATGGAGCTACTTGGAGTATGTTTATACATTCTTTAATAGACACATGCACTTCGTTCTTTTTGTCATATACTTATCAGGAACCTTACAGTCATAGGAAAGATAACATGTTTTATGTAAATAGCCAGCTATTCGATGTATACCATAGTATACTACACTTTGTAAGGTTTAGGATTAGCCTGCCTTAAGTAAGTCCTATGCCATTTTAGGCTACCATAATGAGACCCTGTCTCAAAACAGACAAACAGAAAGAAGTTACAATGACTGCTTTGCATAGGTTTTTAACCAGTTCATACTTCCATTAATAATAGAGTGTTCTGGTTTGTGCCAGTCCTTGTCGACACTTAATATTCGTCAGTGTTTTCATCTTAACCATTCTTGGGATTGTGTACTTTTTTTTAAAATAAGGAATAATGTTAACTTTTAAAAATGTTGTCTCTATTTGGTTAAAATTCTGCCCTTTGTACATTGCCAAATGTTTTGCTCATTTTAAAATTAGGTTATCTTTTATTCATTGGTTTGTAGACATTTAAAAATGTATTTTGGAGGTGTGTGTGGTGATGCACTCATGTAATACCAAGCCTTCAGAGGTGGAGGCAGGAACATCATGAGTTCAAAGTCAGCCTCAGCTATATAGCATACTTTAATCTAGTCTGGGCTACCTGAGATCTGTCTTAAAGCAGCTAATACACATATATTTACATGTATGATATAAAATCTTTGTCAGATGTATGGTTTGCAGTTTCTAATACTCTGTGACTTGTTCTTTCACCTATTTTTGATGACTATTGTTAATTTTAATGTATTATAATTTATCAGTTTTGCTTTGATGATTGGTATTTAATAATTTTTGTGAAATATTTCCTATCACAGGTCTTGAAGACATGCTTCCATGTTTTTCTCCAAAATGTTTAGATGGTTATTTCTTTCCAATTTAGTTCTACAATTCTTGTGGGTTTTTTAAAATATAAATTTGGGTCAAGATCATGTGTTTTTACTCAGATGTTGAACAATTGACAACAAACTATGCTCTAATTTTTGTTTATGTAGTAAGAACTTTGATATTTATGAAGCAAAACTATGAAGAAATAGATGAATGCGTATCCTCAAAGATTTCCATTAAGCATAGCTGCTAGAACAGAGAATTGGAAGGGTTTCCGAGAGGACCTGAGGAACAGTATCAACTTATTTGACCCAGGTGGTATTTGCAGAATGCTTCATCCTACAGGGGAGTACACATTTCCTTCTAAGGAAATGCATGTGGAACTTTACCACAAACAAAAACAGTATTTTTACATAAAATAAATTCTAATAAATTTCAGGAAGATTCCAATCATTTAAAAATGCTGTAGTTTACAAAAGAATAAAACTGGAAACAGTGATAGATATCTGGAAGAAAATCTGATGTTTCAAAATAACACACTTCTGAGTAACTCAGATCAAAGAAGAAATAGGAAGAGAAGTTTAAATGTATTACACCAAATAAAACAATTCTGATAGTGCAGGATAATGGACTTTTTAAGAATATGAAATAATTTTGTGTTGTTGTCATGAACCCATTCTTGGTTATTATGTATTTCTTATGTTTCTAAATTTTTGCTGTTTTTCTCAGGATTTTTATTCATTGAGGGGAAGTGATCTTCAATTTTCTATCATACAGAGAGGACACTATTATCTAGTTACTATTTTAAACTTATTTTTATATTAAATAATGGTAAAATGTGTGAAATTTGATATCCATCTTGTTTACTTGTTTGTTTCTTTATTGACAGAGTCTCACATAGCCTAGGCTAGCCTCAAACTCACTGTATAGGTGAGACTGGTTTTAAATTTATCTCCCACATGCTGTTACTATAGGAATATGCAACCACATGAGCTTTAATTGTCTTTAAATGTAATCCTGTTAGTGGTGTTAATTTATCCAATTAATCTTCAGAAGTTTATCTTATAAAACTGAAACTTGGTATTCCTTAAAACCATCTTTCTGTACCCCTCCCTTTAACCTCTGGCAAATAATATTCCACCTCTCTTTCTATGTGTTTGTCTGCTATAGACACCATAAATAAGTGAAATATCAGAGTACTTGTAGCCAGATATTTAATTTAGTCTCTGAGGTTATTTCATAGTGTAGCATATGTCAAGATCTCCTTTCTTTTTTAGACTGAGTAATTCCCTTGCACATATATACCATATTTTGTTCATTCATTTATCTATCAGTAGACACTTAGGTTGCTTTCACATTTTGGTATTGTAAATATTGATGGTATAAACATGGGTACAGATATCTCTTTGGAAATTTGGCTTCACACACACACACTATTTTTTATTCTTTTTTCTTTTTTCTTTTTATTTTTTGGTTTTTATGAGACAGGGTTTCTGTGTATTGTTTTGGAGGCTGTCGGTCCAGTCCCGCCTCTAACTCACAGAGATCCGCCTGCCTCTGCCTCTCGAGTGCTGGGATTAAAGGCATGCGCCACCACCGCCCAGCCACACTTTATTCTTAGAAAATTTGATACATATAAACAATGGGTAATAACCTCTCCCTTTTCTCTACCATCCCTGTTCAATGCCCATCATCCCCAACTGAGTTTAACCAGGAGCATCTATCTATGTGATCATAAATTTGAACTTGTCCAGTGGAGTCTGTTAAGCTCAGCAGTGGTTACATAACTGGTGACAATTATATTAGATATTTAAAGAGTATATGACCATTGTTTTCTAAATTATTCTTCAGTTTTGATTTATCTGTGTTATCCTATGATTAGATACTGGTTACTTCTCTGGCATAAATGTCTCATAAAAGATGTATTCTTTGTATAATACATCCACAGAAACATTATATCAATTGATATTATTTTCAATTTACCACTTTAGGATTTTCCTCTTAGTTCAAAAGTGGTTGAGTAGATTTAGATACGTTGTTTTGTTGTCTGAGGCTTTTTGACTTTTCTCTTTTTTAATTTTTAACTTTATTGCATGAAAATCAGATAACGTCATTTATAGTTCTGCTGTTTAGAATTTACTTTTTAGAGATCTGATATTCTCCATATGTATCTGGTGTATATTCAAAAGATAAAAAGAGTAAAAGTTTTACAGGTATCTGTAAGATCTACCTTATTGATTGCTTAGGTATGATTCTTTATTTTTGCCAGCTTGGTGTCTTCTGCAATGAGAACCATGACACATGAAAACCCACTAAAGGTTTCTGTATGTTTCTTTTCATCTTACAGGAGAATTTTCTATGTGGCCTGACAAATATCAGTAACACTTTGATTGTGCTAATCCTAAAGGTCAGGGGACACTTTCTGTCCCTGACTGTATCTTTAACACTTGCTTTCCCGATGTCATCCCCATACCTGACACCTTCGCCTTCTGCACATTAGCTAAGCAACAGTCAGAAAACTTACTTTGCTTTCTCCTTTCTCCATTTTGTTTCCATTTTTTAGATGAGTAGCATTTCTGTTGCGTACAGTTTCAGAGATGTAGTCCATTGTCATCATGGTGGGGAGTATGGTGGCCCGTAGACAGACGTGGTGCTGGAGAAGTTGAAAGTTCTACATCCAGATCTTCAGGCAGGAAGAGAGAGACACTGGGTCTGGCTTGGGCTTTTTGAAGCATCAAAGCCGACCCCTGATGACACACTT